ATCATAAGATTGATTTATTCGACAGCCATTTATAATACCGNTAAATCAATCTTATGATTGGCCATTTGCAAGTCCAATCAGGACTCGTAACACCGGTCGCGCTTCTCTGATAATCTAGGACTCTAGGTGCTCTGTCCCCTTATATTCCTATGTCCATGGACGCAACTAGAGACAGTGGCTCGCATTCTCGAAAAATTTCTGCACGAATGTACGTACACAAAAATACAATTTTTAAAATTAAGAAATTGTATTCAGTTAAAAAGGATAAGGGAAAAATCAGCTCAAAACGAAGATCCAGCGTCATGAGTCGTTCGAACAGTCGCACAGCCATTTTCGCTGTAAACAGTGTAAACAATTCCCCGCGTGCCACGCGCTAGGCAACCGCGCTTGATGGACGGTCGCGCGCTAGTATGGCGGTGGGCCGGATTCGCCGGATGGATATTCGCTCATTCAGCGATATTTAAAAATTAATATCTCGTTAAATATTGCGAATTTTGCAAAATAGTAGAGAACTTTTTGATTTAGTTTAGTCCGTTCTATCTACCCATGAGTGGTGATACACCTATCAAGAGACACCCTGTATATATATACAGGCCATAAGTTCCCGGACTGATTTTTTTGCAGCCTTTCCATTGACGCCATTTCGGCTGAACCACAGTATAACCACTAGGTCCACTTCGTGTCGGCATCTTTGATCTCCTTTTCCGGATCACGTGAGCATCCACTATGTTAAATTCAGAACCGAATTGAGAAAAGTGCCTCACAAGTAATAAAACAGATAAATAATAATATGGATTCGATATAGTAAATGAATAAATTCAATGTATGAATCGAATAAAACGTTTTATTAGTAACAATTATTCGTAGGAGTGATCATTAAAAAAAATTTCTGATGTAATTGGTTATAAATTGTCTGCACATATGTATGTGTACACTTGCTCACTAAAAGGTTGCGACACTTTCTTTTTTATAGGTTTCAAAACGTATTAATATTTTGCAAATGCGGACCACGATTGGTGTTATATTGCTTTTAGACTAAAGATAGTAGATCGTGGTTGCATTTGCAAAA